CAACCAAATGCGTCCCCGTACACCACAGCACTTTGTACGCAGGGCTAGTGCTGACTCAGCTCTGACCGCTCCCACAAAAGGTTTCGTTATGTCACAAGATTGAAGTCCGAATCAAGTTCGATAGTGAAAACGTAGCTATTGATGCCAGAAATGTTAAATACTTGAGTAGTAATTATGTGGCTACACCCTGTTTTATGTAAAGCTACAAGTTAACAAAATATGTTATCAACAATCCCAGACATTCTTTTGTAGTTAAACAACTTTTCTGACCAGCTACTAAACGAAAGCTGAGAGATTGCATAATCTGCATAATCGTACACCCAATGCAAACACATATACTGAATATACTGAATCGGTCACAACTCTCGCATAAACTGACCAAAACAACTCCTTTGTAAAATATCATTAATTGTAAATTAAACAGCTTCCCAAGTTGTTGGGCTTAACACAGTGATAGAGGGACTGTGGATTCAACTTTCATTGGAACTTACGAACATTATTTAGATGGTACGCCAATCATCGATTGTCTGTGCTTAGATCACGCACAGTCCCTCTATCACTGTGGATCACGGTTACTAAACAAGTAACCGTGCTTAGATCGACATGCTCCTGTGTGCGAATCTGTACAAATAAAAATCCCACAACTTACCAATAGTTGATCTGTTTGGAATATACCTGTACGTCTATTTACTTCACTGTTAAGCTGCTCGCCGGCCGCCGGTGCCAAGATCACGAGTTTTTGTTTTTATTTGTGTCACGTGATTTCGCAAATAAGGTCGAAGTTCAATACGTCACATGATTGTCCAATGACACAATGCATTTTGATTTTGCCCGACCGTAGGCTGAGTAAGTTGTTAATAGTTACACAATTTTGGATTTGTTTCATTTTCATTTCAGGCTTTAAACAGTTGGCGGCATTCTGGCCGCTCGTTGGAAGAGCTGATAAGCCTTTTTGCTCGCACGCTCAAATAGCGCCCTCTTAGTTTAAAATCTTGTTATATTTTGTCTTTACATGGTATCGAGTGTCCAAACGCTTTAGAATGTCAACTGTTCCAGCGTTAGTTTCATTACGTCACGTCCCACGTTAAGAAAATAATTTACAATAAATGTGGCATATCAAAACAAATGTACCGTGTGTTTTTCCTACACACGTTTACCCTACCACGCACGAAGAACACACTCTATATGTGGGATTTTTGGGTCATTTTGCGTCATAACACATAGGTGGATGAACCATGTTGGTCTTTCCAATTTAGGGGTAAATGTTGATTTTCATATGGCGCAAATGCAAAATTCGATGTGCATAATGTAAGATAATCACGAACAGTTCAACATGATAGCTATTTGGCGTGTTAGAAACACTTGGCGTAGATGCCATTCTTTTTATCCAACAAAGTATGTTAGACTACTAGTATTTGATGTTATCATACGAGTTAAAACGTAATACCAATATAATTGAAAGCATTCCTAAGTTCAGCAGTTGTGTTGAAATTCAAAGGCATCCACAAGATACGGTACCCATCATACTGAATATTTAACTCTACTTTTGCAAAAGACGCAGAACATTATAAATTGTTGAAGGAAAATCTGGAAAAATGGGTTGCAGAATTGAGGGGGGTGGGGGTATGGAAAACAAATGGAATTCTGTGGGACTTCGTATGCCAATCAAGTATGATAAAGAAAAAAAGAGGAAAATATAAAATAAAACAATATTGAGCACCTGGAGGGGCGAGTGTAAGTAGCACAACAAATATGTGGGAAGAAAGAAACTAATTACTCTGATTTAGAAGAACTTGTAGATGAATTACAGGAAATTATAGAGGGTTCCATCACATCACATCGAATCGCGTGCAAAATAGCATATAAACAATTAAAAAAAACAATAGATACTTCCTTGGTATGGAAAAGTTTAATAAAATAGAAGTCAAGCATAAAACAGCTGACTAAAGGAGAAAAGGAAAGGGAAAGTTTCTACTGTAATTTGTACGAAAAACTTAGATTGATTTAAACTGTCTAGAAAGGTTAAAGGTACGACAAAAAACGAAGAAAAACAGGAAATTTTTGAAGGTTTGTTAATCCTATAATTTATATCGGTGTATTTTTTGCTGGACAGTTTATATTGCTTTATTTGATGTCGATAAATAATGAATAAGTGGGAGAATTCATTGTTTCAAAATTCTCATGGAATGTACTTACAATAAACCACCTGAATCAAGAGAATGAGAGATAATATTTACTAAAATCCACGTGCGCTCTTGATTCGTTGAAATGACTACTCATTCATTAAGTGAATATGTCGGACAACCAAATCCTTTCACAGGAACATTTTGATCGTTGTCAAGCCAGCTCAAATTCCATGCTATAAAGTTCATCCATATATGTGCCTCTTGTTCGTCAACAAGTTTGACTTCATTGGTTTTCAGGAAATATTCACTTGGCTGATCGAGTATCGAGTTCACAACAACCCACGTCACTCAAATCCTCATCATGAACTTATGTGAGCTTTATGTACGTGGTCATGGTTGAATGTCATTTATTACTCTAATCATGATGCAGAAAATATTCTATTTGAATCCCTAGAGTTTCAGCTAAGTTACCAATTTTAATGAAATCTTTTCGACTTGCTGTGACGTGATTTGTGTTGTTGTTTCTTGGTTGCTAGTTGTCAGACTGACAGTGAAAAACTGTTCAGCCATTATTCGATTTTTATTTAACTTAGATATACATGTGTAATAAGTCCAAATATGAAGTGAGTAAGTCCATATTCAAAAAGTGGTAACTGGAGATGTGAATTCTTGCCCTATACAGACACTGCCATGCACTGAATTCAAGCCGATATTGGATTGCTTAAAATCACTATCATATCAAATGCACAAGATTTGGGCCGTTTTCGGAATATTATATTAAAGAAATGATTTATCTAATTGATATATATGTCAAGTAGCGCTAAATAAGGATAGATCATTGGGTAATATAATTGAATGTATGGAAAAGACAAATTTGACACTTTTTATTCATTAAACATTGTTATGCAAAGGAACAGTACTGGACATTACTAGGAATTGTAAACTCGTAGCGGCTGCCAACAAAGGAAGCAAAGTAAAGTAAACATGTACATTTGTACTACATACTTAAATCGGCCATACACGTGCGCACGTCACCAAATCGCCCAGCCTCACGTTACAACACGTCTACAGCACAGCCACCGGGCATCCCTGAAAACGATGCTTAATAATCGATTTTGTCCGTAAAAAAGAGCGTTAAACTTGTTCACGCCTGGCGACGCAACGTAGCCAGACAGTGGTCAATGGCCATCAAATCTAGCTATATTTATTAAAAGATAACAACTTTAGAGAAAAGCACAGATCAACAGACCATGTAATAACACTTCACACATTGATAAAAAAATATCAGTCAAAAAACAAAAAAACTATACTCTTGCTTCATTGAGTTAAGCAAATGTTTTGACACAGTTTGGAGTCATGGACTGCTCCTTAAGTTACAAAACAATGTATGTGGTAACATTTATAATGTCATAAGACATATGTATAGGAATATGGATTTTCAAGTGAAGCTTGGTAACAAAGTAACACCAAATTTCACAATACAAGATGGTGTGAAACAGGGATGCCCTCTAAGTCCAACACTATTTAATTTATTTATGAATGACTTAGTGGGGGAGATAAATAAATGCACAAACAGTGCTCCTGAATTAAATGGTCAGGCTATTACCTCACTGTTATTTGCTGATGACATTGTATTGACAGCATTAACAGAAAACGATTTAGAGAAGCAGTCATGTAACGTTACGTCTCGGATTCTGAGATAAATCTCTCAGCCAATCAGATTGTTTTAATTTTAGCCTATCACAGGCGAGATGTTATTGACCTATCGTACACATTCCCGCCAATTTATATTTGCGTTACGATTACTACTTTATAGAGTT